AAGAAGAAGAAGCAAAACAGTGATGGCTATAAAGGGCATATTGAGGTGCAACTCTCACATAAGCTTCACAGAAAAATAACAAAAATAAATCCACAAAATACAACAGAGACAAAAATTCCAGTTGTTCAGAGAGAAGGGACTATGCAGAGAGCTCTTGGCAGAGGGTCTTGCCTGCCCTTGCAGGGGAAGGAGAACAGAAGAAAGAGCCCCCATCCAATCCTACCCATCCCTTCTGGACAATAGGTGACTCAGTGGCCTGCAGCAGCTTTCAGTGTCTCCAAAATAAAACAAATTTCTCCTCCATCTTCACTCTCAGCTAGCCTCCCGAGTCAGTGAGAAAACAGAAGCAATCAGACATGAACTTCCACATGCCTACACTAGTAAGTCTACTGTACACCATCATCAGTATTCATATATATGTCTTCCCTCCAAAATCCATAGAAGAATGTTCCCATCTCTGCCTAAGAACAAACCCATCTCGTGAGAACTGGATTCCAGTCTACTCTTGACCTGTCTCAGTCTTTGTTCTCTACCTTCCTCCTGTACAAATTCTAGATCATTGCTATCAGTATACAAACTTACTATTTTTTTTTTAAAGAAGCCTTTTCTCAATCTCGTTTCTACTTAAAACATTCAACTTCCATTTTGTAGAAATGTTCCTGGTTCCAATGCTCCTTCTATTCTAAGACCTACTTCAATCAAGCTTTCATTCCCATCTTTCCACTAAGACTACTTTGTCAAGGTCACAAGTACAAACCACAGTTCTCTCCCACCTCTCTGTTCAATCCTTCTCAGATTCCTTTGTATCTTCCCCTTAATTCTCCAACTTCTTAATACGGGGTATTGTGGACTCAGCCACTAAACCTCCACCTTACATAGACTCATTTTCTAGGTAAGTGTTTCAATGTCCTGGCTTTAAATATGTTCTCTTTGTCAAGGACTCTCACATTTGTGTCTATTTCAGATCTCTGACCAAGCTACAGACTCATGTAGATGTTCAACTACCATACATTTTTACTCAAATGTCTAAAAGGCATTAAAACTTAACGTTCCCAAACTGAGCTCCAAGTATTCTCCCTCTAAGCTGTAGCCATCTCTGTTTCAGTTCATGTAACACTATGCTTCCAGTTACCCCTGGGAAAGCAGAATATTCTTTCTTTTCCTCTCCTGCCCCACATCTGATCAGTTAGTAAATCCTTCCAAATAGACCTTGGAGTCTGACCATGTCTCACCCATCTTATGCTACCTGTTGGTCATGCCTCTAACAGCTCTTTGCTAGAACACTGTATTACACTGGTCTTATTTCTACACTTGTCCTCTTCAGTCGACTCTCAAGAAAGCAGAAATTCTTAAAACACACACACGCACACACTCACACAAATCACTTCCTTCTTCTGCTCAAAACCCTCTAATTTCTCCCCATCTCAATTCAAAATGACATCCAAGTCCTTAAAACAACTGGCAGGACTCCTATTGCCCCTGCTTATATCACATGAGCCACACTGGGCTGGATTCCTCCACGCCCTAGCACACTCCCACATCAGGGCCTTTGCTTTCCTGGTCTGCTGGCCTGGAACACTCTTTTCCCAGATATATACATGGTGCACATCCTCATAGCCAAGTTTTTGCTAAATGCTACATTCCCAATGAAGCCTTCCTGTCACCCCTTTAAATATATCCTAGTCTTTCTCCCCCCAGTATGTATTGACTTCTAGAATAATATTTAGAAATTGATTTTGTTTGTTGTCTTCTTCAAATAGAATGCAAGTTCCAAAAGGAGAGGTTTTTCTTTTATTATATCACCAGTGCATGGGATAGCACCAGGTACATATTAAGCACTTAGCTGCAAGTCACAAGTTTTGTTGTATCAAGCTATAATAATGCTTTCATAATTCTTTAATTCTAGGTATTTTGTATTCCCAACATGATTTAAAATTTGAAAATTAAAACAAATTTTGTAGAACTAAAAAGACAATGACAAAATGAGTAAGGCATAAGAATAATATCACAAATTCCAATGTCGTGGAAATTACGACATTGAAGCCTTCTGTGTGTCCTGAGTTTATATTTATCATTCTCTTGAAGTTTATCTTTTTAAACAATATGCTCTTTATTTGTCCATGTTTTTATTGTGTTGTGGACAGCTGTAGCAGAATTATTTTCACCACTATAGGATATTCCACTGTATGATTATTCAATTTATTCATCTAGTCTGGTATTGATAAATATTGTTTCCTGGATTTTTGCTATTATAAACAGTGCAATGAATGTTTTTGTAGATTTTTCTACTGCTATGCTAGTCTGAAAAATTCTTCAGTACACCTAGGAAGTAGAATTTCTGGGTCACGAGGGCGTCACTAACTCACACCCCTTGTTGTCCCATAGCATAACCAATGCTTCCTAATTTAAAATGTCAGTCTGGTGGTATGAAACGGAATCTCATTTGTTCTTAAATGTGCACTTCCCATGTTACTACAATGTAATGAGGCTAAGCATCTTTATGTGTTTTGCCCATTTTTCTGTTTGGTTATTGTAGTTCTTAACACTTAGATAGTAACTTTTAAAATCCATGATATGCAGTGAAAAGTGAGTGGGACTTTTGAATTAAGATGTCATGGTATCCACATGGAGATAGACAAACAGGTCAATGAAATAGAATAAAAAAATACTTTAATGTATGACAGTGCTAGCAGGAGAATCAGTGATGGAGGGGGCCGTGAGGAGAAAGATTTCAATAAATTTTACTGGAGTAATTATTATCTAATGGAAAAAGTTGACATTAGACTCCCTATTATACCTCACCCAGTCTGGGGTAGATAAGAGACTTGAATGTTAAAGGCAAACCTAAACATCTGGGAGACATATAAGACAGGGTCAGTCTCCATGTGGATACTGTGTCATCTTAATTCAAAAGTCCCACTTTGTTATTCTTTAGGGGTGTTTCTGCTATTGTTAGCTCTGCTCTTACACATAAAAATGAGGAGCAATTTTTTTTTCAAATTAGAGGGAAATTAGGATTTTGATTAACATATTGAATTTATAGATCAGATGGGAAAAAATTTTATAATATATTTCTTTTTTGTGTGTGGTACTAGGGCTTGAACTCAGGGTCTACACCATAAGCCATTCTACCTGCCTTTTTTTATGATTCTTTTTTTGATAGAGTCTCACAAACTATTTCCTGGGCTAGCTTCAAACCACCATCCTCCTGATCTCTGGCTCCTGAGTAGCTAGGATTATAGGTCTGAGCCACTGGTGCCTGGGATTCTTCTATTCATGTACATGGTATCTCAATTTTTAAATTCTTTTTAAACTCCTAATGCAGTGTTGTCACATTCTTTACAAGAGTCTTATAAATCTTTTATTAGATTAATATTTAGGTGATTTATCCCTTTGATGCTCTTATTATAGTTTTCTTGAGTTTATATTTTAACTGCTGCAAATGTGTAAGAATGCAATTGATTTGCATACAGATCTTTTAATAAACTATTATTATTCATGTAGATTATTGGCTTTTTAACCAAGGAATCAGTTAGTTTCTTAAGCATGTATTTGTTAGCTGTCATTCTTCTGTTAAAATTTCATAACAGATATTCTGAAAATGTGTTGCTTTTTTTTTAAAGATTGATACTGCAAAATTTTTAAGACTTCCTTTGTGGTTTACTTTGTCTTCAATTTTGTTTTTGGCAATATTGGAGTGTGAACTCAAGGTCTGACTTGCTAGGCAGGTGCTATACTGCTTGAGCCACTCCACCAGCCTTTGTGATTTTTATAAAGTCTGTCATGTTTCCTGGAAATAAATGTGTATTGTCTGTGGGATCCATAGTTCCATATGTGTTTATGAAATCAAGCTTGTGTAACATTTGTGTATTATAAAACACAGGATGGTCTGGAACCAGTGCTCTTTCAGCATGAGCCTTTGGAGTGCAGAGGATACAGGTGTGTGTCATCATGCCCAGCTCTGGAAATAATTTTTATGCCATGACTAATTTACTGAGTGTGATTAAGGTTTAAGAATTGAGTATCTCTTAATTAGATAACTTTCCCACAACCCTATTAAATATTATTAGCTCATTTTTGCCAAAGCCGGACTTGTTGTTCAAAGGGCAAGCTGGCCAAATTCCACAGTAAGTGTATTAACAGTTGAAATTTGAACTTTGACCTATTTTAGTTTATTTACAGCTCAAGGCTTCTAGACTGGAAACCTCAGCTACTGTTTATACCACCTCTCCTTCAGTGCCAATGATAAAACACCATTACTATATCGTGTGACTGCAATGCTCAAGTTCTTTCATCCATATATAGTTCATTATTCTCACGACTTATCAGAATGGGCAAATATTACAAATTAGGGGAGTTTATGTAACATAGTTAAACTGTGCTTATAAAAACACTATTTTAAAATAAAGTTTAAAAAACTTTATTATAAAACACTAGATGAAAGCCAGATTCATGATGGGAAGGGTACTCTCATTTACCTTCATTCCCTCCCTTCAAAACAGAATTAAAAAAAAAAAAAAAAGCATGCTCAAAATGGTGCTGTGAATCGCTAAGTGGAAGGACATGGATCCAAACGTATCCCCCAAGCGGTGCCATTAACTCAGCCTCTGGAAAATACGGCCAGATAAAAGGACTGACACCAGATTCTCAGAAAGAGATCAATGTAAAGGTTGTAGTACAAAAGGTCAGAGCAGAGATCTATTTCTCAATAAGCTTCCTGCCTCGACTACCTCAGTGAATTCTCTAGCACATAATTTCATTCTTTAACAAGATTCACTTGCATAGAATACAGAAATGTTATTGAGCTTCTATTACTGTTCTTGAATTCGGAGTATCCCAGAATAGAATTTGGGTGACAGATCACAGCAGCTCCTGCCTGCAGGACCCGTCACTGCAGGAAAAGAAATCGGTATAGGGGAAACTAGGAACCCACCTAGGGCCAGAGGAGGCGAGGCGCAGTGCAAATTTGTTAGGCTGGAGGCGAAGCCTAGTCTGGATACCTGTATTGAGTGACCGTCAGCGCAGCCCCAGGATCTGCCCCAAATCCAGGTAAGTGCTGATTTAGGTAGGCCTCCAGGGACTTGCAGTCGAACTTGTGCTGGGGCAGCACTTCAATGGTCTCGGGTTGGTCGGTGGCACCTGACTCCATGATTGTCGCCACTGCTGCAGGCCACAAAGGCGTGCAATCCACAGGATTTGAGTGCCAACTTCGCTCGAGTGTAGCAAGTACACACCGGAGCGTGGGGGCGGGGCCTGGCTCTGACCAATCACACGCCCCCTGCTGCAGGTGTGAGCAACGTGTCTGCGTTGGCTCTAACCGGAAAGGCGGGAGGCTCCCAGGCTGTGTGTATCTGCGTCAGGGATGGAGGCTTCGGTTATCAAGGAAACAAATTCACAATCCTCTATGTGGGCGAATAAGGATGCAGAAGCCTCTTACACTCCCCCCCATTGTTTGCGGGAGAGTTTACTGAGATAGAAAAGTAGCAAAAAGTACAGCTCTGGAGGGATCCCAAGAGAGGCTGGCCCCATCCCCAAATTAAATGCACGATCCGGCCGGAAAACCGGTTCAGAAAAGAGACCGTCAGAACCCCGAGCCCAGGAATAAAAGGTCCTAGTGTTTCTCCTTGTCTCTTAGAACGTCAACTTCGCGGTTCGCCTGCTCTGGGCACTTACGACCCGGGTTCTGCTAAAGCCTGCTTTAGCACATCCTGCGACAAAAGGAAGCCCAAAGAGGCGAGCTTTTGCTGTGGCGGAGCGATGAAGGCGACGCACCGGAAGTAGTGCCGTGGCGGGCCCGTGGGAGGGGCGGAGACGTGTCGGTCCGGCAGGCATTGGGAGCACTTCCGTAGGTCTCTGAAGCAGGAGGGCGAGGGCTGGGTGTCTTCCCTACGCGACGTACCCGTGGTGGGCCCAGCAGCGTGGGGCGGCGGCGGCAGCGGCGGAGGTCCGGGCTGGGAGCTGTGGCAGCCGGGGCCCCAGCCATGGCGGAGTCGGTGGAGCAGCTGCAGCAGCGGGTTCAGGAGCTGGAGCGGGAACTGGCCCTGGAGAGGAGTCGGCGGGGCCCCGGGGGCGGTGACGGAGGGGGCGGCCGGGCCCGAATCGAGAAGATGAGCCCAGAGGTGGTGGATTCCAATCCCTACAGGTGATCAGCGGCGCGAGTCGAGTCGAGGGGGGCGAGGTCCCGGCCCGCAGGTGGTCAGGAGCAGCCCGAGTCCCGAGTCCCCTTCTTTTGGTCTGTGGGTCCCATTCCCAAATGGACAAGGCCACGTCTTAGTGCTAGTCAGAAGATAGCCTTTATCTTTTTATTTAAAAAATGCAAGCGAGTCATCCATATGGTTGCTGCTCTTGCCAACGTGTCCTTGGTTTCCTGTCGCCCTTGTTTCTACTGGTCAGTCCACCTCGCTGTGTTAAGACTGATACTTAGAACTTTCAGAAGATGACATCAGATATGAAGCCCGCTAAACATCAGCTGCGAGTTTTATAAAAGCCTATCAGTGCGTTTTAGATGGGGGCAGCGCGGGGGGGGTGGTTAGCCCTACTCTGGGATATTAGGGTGCTCCTTAACGTACTCTTAACCATTCGACTTTGCGAGGCCTGCCTGCCCCTCTCTTTGCCTTTCTGATTTTCTCAGAAGGCCAGTCAGTACAGCAGGTGAAATACAGTGTCATCCTCAAGAATAAGGACTCCACAGCTGGACTGATTGGATTAAAATCTCAGCTGTTTTAGTAGCTGGGTAATCTTGAACAAGTTCTGAACTTCTCTGCTTCAGTTTCTTAGCTGTAGAATAGTAGTTGCACATGGTAAGCCTTGTCACAAGACTGTTGCACAGTGCCTTCAGTAGTAAGCAGGTGTTGAGATTTTTGTTACATGCTAAGCTCTTTACATACAGGTCTCTTCTCACCACACCCCTCAGGGATTGCTGTTATTTTACCCCCATTATTTCGGTAAGAAAATTGAGGCATAGAGGAGCTGCCTTGAATCAAATACAGTAGTAAATAATAAAGCCTAAGCTAGTGTCCTGTGTATATTAATCCAAAAGTCACATGGAACCATGTTCCAGGTAAAAGTCAGTAAGCCAGTAGGTAGTATGGCTAAATGCTGGATAGTTTTAACGTGGGTGAAATAGGGAAGGTATAATTGTTGCTCTTTTGTTTTGGAGCATGATTTGATTTTTAAGACAGGTTTTACTTGTGTGTGACACATAAAGCCTCAGTGACAGTGTTAGGATATGCTTTTTAAACTGCATTGCCAAATATGAAGGATACAAAATATTTCGTTTTGAGCAAGCATGGACAGTTACCTCTATTCGGAGTGAGTGGAAACTATTTTACTTGACATCTTTTTCATTTTACAAATAAAAATGTTGGAATTTTCCCTCAAAGGAATATGGGTTATACATGTGAAGTTTTCTTTCAGAAATTGTAAGATGGTCCCTTGACACTATAATAATTACAAAACTTTTAGGACTTGTCTGAACATTGAGTATTTTCTGTCTCATTTGCACCATTTGCCTTTTTAAAAAACTGCTACAGAGGAGATGCCAATTGATACCCAAGGGTGTTCACTAGTATATGAAAATTTGGTCAGCTTTATTTTTATTTACTCATTTTATTTATTTTTTTGGTGGGACTGGGGTTTGAATTCAGAGCTTTGCACTTGCAAAGCAGGTGCTCTACCACTTGAGCCATGCCTCCAGACCATTTTGCTCTGGTTATTTTTAGAGATTGGATCTCAAAGACTGTTTTTCTGGGCTGGCCTCCCAAATAGCTAGGATTAAAGGCGTGAGCTACTGGCACTGGCTTTCATTTCTTAAGTATAGACTCCATGGATACAAAGTAGACATGGCCTTTTCTTTTCTAAACTTACCAAATGAGTGTGGGATACATAGAAAGGTAAAAACATGCAGTTTCAATACAGGTGGTGAAAATTATGCTAGTAAAAGTACAGGGTAATTGCAAACTATAGGAAATGGTTTTGTATGTGTTCAACACCACTTTAACCTCATCAAGTGATACAAAAGAAATACAAAGTCCCTCACAGAGTCTTTTTTAGTTTGGAAGACTAAATGTACATGGAATAATGATCAGACAACACAAGTAACTGAAATTAAGTGGTGTAAAATATAATTATAAGCATGTGGAGAGACTTGAGAGGCAGCAGAGGCTTTGAGGATAGAACACCTGGTTTCAAATCCTGACTCAAACCCAGCTCTGAGTGCTGTTTGCCGGTTAGCTGATCTTGGACAGAAAGTCAATATGAAACTTTTCCCTTATTTGTGAGGGAAGATTGTAATACATTTTTCTCAGGTTATTTGTAAAAATTAAAGGGAGAATAAAGGTAAATGCTAATAGATTGATCACAGGAATGTACTATCACTTTCCCCAATCCCACTAAATGGACAATAAAGGAATTTTTAAGTAGGAATATATCCCTCATTGACAAAAGAGGGTTTATGTTAATTGTGGGGAGAGAAGCTGGATAATACATTTGAAGATTATAGTGACAGGTTTGGAAAGTAGAAAAGGGATCAATGAAAGTTAACTGATTGAATAGCTTCTAAGAAGCTGAATTTTAGCCTACATTCCAGCTTGTACCACAGAATCTCCTAAAAGGTTCAGAAATAGACACAGACTTCTAGAAGGGCTTAAGGTAGGGTTAACAAACTTTTGGTTGAAAGCCTTTTGAAAAACCAAATCCCATGGCCCCTACTCCACTGTGGTAGCTGGACACATGTCCCTTCAGGAGAGTAAAATAGAGGATATACAAGTCTTTGTACCTGAAGCCAGGGGCATATCTAATGTTTACATACTGAATGCTTGGACAGAAAATAACTGAGTACTTAAATCCTGAATGCTGGTGCTCCCACATCTCCACTTAAACAACTCATAGCCAGGGGTAAACACCTTTCAAGGGAGAGTTTGAAAAATTCTTCAAAAAAAAAAAAAAGAAAAAAGATCAAAAGACACATATATCCTGGCCAGATCACCCTATAGCAAAGCTTTTTTTTTGTACTGAGGTTTGAACTCAGTCTAGGCAAGTATTCTACCACTGGAGCTATACCTCTAATCATTTTTGCTTTTAGTTTTTTTTTTTTGAGCGTTTACCCAGGCCAGCCTCAGATCTTGATCCCCCTACCTCAGCCTCCTTCCTGGGATTACAGGCATGCCCTACCATGCTCAGCCTCCATCAGGTCAAACCCCAGGACTGCTGGGGTTTGAAGTGAGGGCCTTCTCCTTGAGCCTCTCCACCAGCCCTATTTTTGTGATGGGTTTTTTCGAGATAGGGTCTCACGAACTGTTTGCCTGGGCTGGCTTTGAACCACAATCCTCCTGATCTCTGCCTTCTGAGTGGCTAGTATTAGAAGCATGAGCTGCCGGCACCTGGCCAACCTCCTTTTGTTATTTTATTTTATTTTTTGGCAGGACTGGGGTTTGAACTCAGGGCCTCACACTTGCTGAGCAGGTACTCTACTACTTGAGCCACTCCACCAGCCCTGCCAACCTCCTTTTGAATACCATTTGAGAGCTGCCTGGGCAAAAAGTTAGTGAGACCCCACCTCAGTTAATAAGCCAGGATTGGTGGTACAGGCCTGTAATCCCAGCTACATGGGAGGTATTGGTAGGATCATAGTCTTAGCTGGCCCCAAGCCAAAAGCAAGACCCTATCTGAACAACAACTTAAAGCAAAAAAGTCTGCTCAAGTGGTAGAGTGCTTGCCTAGGAAGAGCAAGGCCCTGAGTTTAAACCAGAACCAACAATAATAATAATAAATATGATTTGAACAAAGGGTTTAAGAAGCTCCTAACATCAAAGAAACAAAAATAGCAACTGGGGCAGGCTAAGTTCTTATTAGTATTGTCATGAGAGAAACCATTGCATACGGTGCTATAAAAAGCATCATTCAGATAATTAAAAAGAACTGTTATAAATGGAGATAACAGAAGTGAAAGCTTCAATAGAAGGATTGGGAAATAAAGTTGAAAGGAATCACCCAAATGGTGCAGAAAACTAGAATGGAATGGTAGAAAATTGGAGAGAGAAAAATAAACATAAAGGAATATCCAGGAGGCCCAGCTTCCAAATAATACTTCCAGAAAGGCAGTCTAGTAAGACAAACCAAGGAAATAACCAGATTCTTTGAGGAAATTTCCTAGAACTAAAAAATGTGGGTTTACAGTTTGAAAGGATCCACCAAATATTCAGCGCAGTGGAGGAGACTAGATCCACACTCAGGCACATTGTAAAATGGCAGAGCTGGAACCAGACACCAAACACTGAAGCAGTACCTTAGAAATTTTATGGAAAATTCTTTCCTACTTTAGACTTCTCTATCAAGTTCAGCCATCCTCTGTGTGTGTGTGTTTGTGTGCGTGTGTGTGTACGTAGCTTTCCACACTCATATTCTTTTCATTGACCATTTTTATAAGGAACACAATTTTAATAAAGAACATTTCCAAACATACAGTCTCTCTAAATTTACCTTTGTATTTCTCTTTGCATAGCTACTAGAAAGTGTTCCTTCAACCATAACATGAGAAAAAAATAATCTATAGCAGAAGCTTTCAAACTTTAGTTTGCATAAGAATTACTCAGAGGGCATGTTAAAACATGGATTGTCAGGCTCCACAGTCAAGGTTTCTAATTAAGAGGGTTGGATGGGGGCACAAGAAACTGGCATTTGTAGCCAGGTCCCAAGAGGTGCTGTTCTAATCCTCAGGCAACACTTTAGAGCCATGCAACTGTATGATGCAGGAAGCATAGAAATATTATGTAAAGGAATAAAAGAGGATTCGTAGTACAACTACTAAAGGAGACACAAGGAAGGGAGCTGTGTATGCAATAGGTCTAGAGACACCACATCAGATTCTCATCTGATGTAGAGACACCACATCAGATTCAATTTCATTAAGATGAAATTGGTAGGACAACTCTGAATATGAATGTGTCTAGAGGAATTGTAGACAACTGGTTAAGAGTGGGGCTTGAATAAGAGAAAATATAGGCAATTAAGCACAAAGGAAGACAGTTACTATGTTCAATAGGGGAAAGAGTAGATTCTAAAATACTGCATGGCCCAGTTGTGAACAATTAACATCTAACTAAAGTGACCGTATACCAGTGTTTGGAGGCTGTGGGATAGATGGTAAGAATGAAATCTTCAGATAATGCCTAAAACTGAAAATCAAGAAATAACATTGTTAGTGTGTGAGTGATAGTGATAGTGAGTGAAGAAAGGAAAAGGGAGTCTGGACCAGAGGACTAATGAATTTCCTAACACACCTGGTAGATGGATCATTTTGACACTTAAAGTGCAAACATGGAAATCGTATATGTATAGAGATTTTATATGATATATATTATATAAACTTTAAAACTTAAAGTACCTAGTACCTCTTAGAGCCCTCAGCATACAGTAGGTGCTTACTAAAAGTGGGCACCATCCACTATGGGCAGTGGCAGCAAGTGAGTGGAATTCTAGCCTTGAGCATATTCTGATGATGGAGATTCAGTGTTGATGTTAAATATCTGCGTACACTAACAAGCATGGAAAAATGCTGACAATTCATTTCAACCCTTAACTTTTAAGCCATGAGATGTTGGTCTTCGCCACGCCTTTGAAGGAAGGTGCTTTAGAAAAGAATATTGTTTCACACGCTACACTTCAGAGAGTATGTGAGCGTCTGTGTTTCAGTCCCACCCAGTAATTTTGTTTCATCTAGTAAAAGCCAGCTGGAGGATTCTTTTTCTTTTCAAGGAGTAGTAACGATTGAATTTCACTGTTTATTTTCTGTGGTGATATATGTCTGTTCATGTCACTATTAACTAAAAGATTGCAAACTTTAAAAATTTTTTTTCCTTTTTTTTTTTAAGCCGCCTGATGGCTTTGAAACGAATGGGAATTGTAAGCGACTATGAGGTATGGTAAACCTTTCCAAGACTTTGAAGATATTTTGAGTAAATGAAAATAATTTCTATTAAATGAATTATTAACTAGCACATAATTTTGTATTCCACAGAAAATCCGTACCTTTGCTGTAGCAATAGTAGGTGTTGGTGGAGTTGGCAGTGTGACTGCTGAAATGCTAACAAGATGTGGCATTGGTAAGGTAAAAATATTTTTCTTGTCATGTAGGGAACTACTCACTCCTGGACCAAATCAGGTACAAATTAGGACTTTTTTTTTCCGCCCTCAGTCAATGGTCTCTTGGTTTGTGGTGTATTATTCAGAGCGTTCATTCTACCTAAAGGGTTGAGACATATCCCTATCCAAACAAAAGCTGATGTAATTGTGAATTAAAGATTATTCAGTTGTGTTCAGGAACTTTTTTGGCGGGTGGGGGGGGTTAATACATAAACAATTTGGAATAAGTGTTTTAGGTATACAACTTTTGGAAAGATGACTTGAATCAATAGTATGAGTAAAACATTGAAACATCTAATGTTTTATTGAACACATAATTAAGCACATAATCATCATAAAAAGCATGAACATTTCTTACTTTTGAAATTGAACTAGAGGATGTTCCAGATATTTATTTATTTATTTTATTTAGTGGTGTCTGGGGTCAAACTCAGGGCCTTATACATGCTAGGAAGGTGTTCTACCATTGAAATAAATCCCCAGCCCTCCAGATATTTTTTAACCTATTTTAAAATTGATTTGGATTGTATGTGGGAAGGAAAAGTAACCCTGTACCAGAATTCAATCCAATCTTAAATTTATAAAGCCACAGTATATGATTAGATAAACTTTCCACAATTACGCCCTTGGATTTTAATAGAGCAAATATTTTCCCATATAGTTTATCAGCCCTCCTTTTCTTTTTGGCAGTACTAGGGTTTGAACTCAGGGCCTCACTCTTGCTAGGCAGGCACTCTGCCACTTGAGCCACTCTGCCAGCCCCTATCAGTAATTTTTAATATATTGGGCTACACCAAATTCATGAAAGATAGTGGTTTCAAATTTGACATTCATTCATCAGTGTAAAAATACCAACACCAAAATACTAAAAATGTTTATTAAAATTTTAATATGCAAGTGGATTACAAAGGCAGGCTAGAAATTGCTTATAGCTGACTTAAGTATCTGACTCATGACTTAGGGATATTAGAGATCATTGAGATGAGTGTTCAAAGTGTGTTTGAGTGTGTTATCAGAATCACTTGGGAAGGCTTGTTAAAACACAGATTGCCAGAACCTACCTCAGTGCTTTCAATGCAGTAGGTGTCAGGTAGATCTAATAGTTGTCATTTTTAACAAGTGCCCAGGTGATTCTGATGATGTTCTAGTGACTAAACTTTGAAAACCACTGGAGTCTTGCTACTCCAAGTCTGATCCCCAAATAATAGCATCAGCATCACCTGGGGGCTTGTTAGAAATGAAGACTTCAGTTCCTACTCAAACCAAACCACTTGAACTGTAACTGCATATGAAAGTTGGGGCCATACTTTTGCCCCTCCAGCAGGCTCCAGGTGACACTGCTGCTACTAAAATTAGCCACATTTTCAGTAGCAAAGAGATAATTACTGCTGTAATTGGAATCACCTGGGAAGATTTAAAAAGTTCTGATGTCCAGATTGTACCCTGTGCTTGGTAAATCAGTCTCTGGGGGTTGGATGCAGACATCATTTTTAATAACTCTCCAGTGATGCCAGTGAGCACTCAAGTTTGTAAACCAAAAGTCTAAACAGGTAAGTTTCAGGAGCTCTTTCTTCAGTCTATAAGCCGATAAACAAGAAGAGGCCCAGAACCCATTTCTCATCCCTGGAAGCAACTGGTACTCCCTGGATCTCCAGATCTTGGCCAACTGCTTTATTTTATAGCTGAGAAAAAGTCAGTGCTCTGTCTGTGATCAGAGCTAATCTGTGGCAGAGTTAACTCAGTTCCAATTCCCAAATTTAGATTTCCTGCAACTTACTCATAAGCTATGAGGCAGAGCCTCAAATTGAATACTTGACCTCACCTTGTAAATACTTATTGGATGAGACTAAGTAGTTAAAAAAGTTAGAGAGGGCATAAGTGAGATCTTTTTTGGCAAAATATTAACAGTTCTGTAGGTGGTGTCATCATGGGCCAGGTTATTTTTTTAAGTTTCTATATATAGAAGAAGGAAATCTCATCTTTGTTTTTATTATTAAATTTAGGGTACTGAGAATTGTACTGCATATTCACAGAATTTTAGGTCAGAAAGAGACATTGAAAACCCTTGGTTCTAACCTGTTCTTTCTGATAAGAAATGTGGTCTTTTGGCTGTTTGAAACATAGCCATCACTTATGAAGTGAGTTCTTGACTTTTAGCCAAAAATTGGAATAAAGGAGGGTTTTGGCACAAATTTAAAAACTGGAATGAAATGGAAGGAATGCTAATTTCTCAGGAAACCCATTTAGGGAGGCAGCACAGTATTGCGGTTAGAGGGCAGATGTGGATTAAGATGCCTAAATTTGAATCCTGTTCTCAATACATAGTAACTGAGTGACTTTTTTTTTTTTTTCATTTTTCTTTTATTATTCATATGTGCATACAAGGCTTGGTTCATTTCTCCCCCCTGCCCCCACCCCCTCCCTTACCACCCACTCCACCCCCTCCCGCTCCCACCCCTCAATACCCAGCAGAAACTATTTTGCCCTTATCTCTAATTTTGTTGTAGAGAGAGTATAAGCAATAATAGGAAGGAACAAGGGTTTTGCTGGTTGAGATAAGGATAGCTATACAGGGCATTGACTCACATTGATTTCCTGTGCGTGGGTGTTACCTTCTAGGTTAATTCTTTTTGATCTAACCTTTTCTCTAGTTCCTGGTCCCCTTTTCCTATTGGCCTCAGTTGCTTTAAGGTATCTGCTTTAGTTTCTCTGCATTAAGGGCAACAAATGCTAGCTAGTTTTTTAGGTGTCTTACCTATCCTCACCCCTCCCTTGTGTGCTCTCGCTTTTATCATGTGCTCATAGTCCAATCCCCTTGTTGTGTTTGCCCTTGATCTAATGTCCACATATGAGGGAGAACATACGATTTTTGGTCTTTTGGCCAGGCTAACCTCACTCAGAATGATGTTCTCCAATTCCATCCATTTACCAGCGAATGATAACATTTCGTTCTTCTTCATGGCTGCATAAAATTCCATTGTGTATAGATACCACATTTTCTTAATCCATTCGTCAGTGCTGGGGCATCTTGGCTGTTTCCATAACTTGGCTATTGTGAATAGTGCCGCAATAAACATGGATGTGCAGGTGCCTCTGGAGTAACAGTCTTTTGGGTATATCCCCAAGAGTGGTATTGCTGGATCAAATGGTAGATCGATGTCCAGCTTTTTAAGTAGCCTCCAAATTTTTTTCCAGAGTGGTTGTACTAGTCTACATTCCCACCAACAGTGTAAGAGGGTTCCTTTTTCCCCGCATCCTCGCCAACACCTGTTGTTGGTGGTGTTGCTGATGATGGCTATTCTAACAGGGGTGAGGTGGAATCTTAGTGTGGTTTTAATTTGCATTTCCTTTATTGCTAGAGATGGTGAGCATTTTTTCATGTGTTTTCTGGCCATTTGAATTTCTTCTTTTGAGAAAGTTCTGTTTAGTTCACTTGCCCATTTCTTTATTGGTTCATTAGTTTTGGGAGAATTTAGTTTTTTAAGTTCCCTGTATATTCTGGTTATCAGTCCTTTGTCTGATGTATAGTTGGCAAATATTTTCTCCCACTCTGTGGGTGTTCTCTTCAGTTTAGAGACCATTTCTTTTGATGAACAGAAGCTTTTTAGTTTTATGAGGTCCCATTTATCTATGCTATCTCTTAGTTGCTGTGCTGCTGGGGTTTCATTGAGAAAGTTCTTACCTATACCTACTAACTCCAGAGTATTTCCTACTCTTTCTTGTATCAACTTAAGAGTTTGGGGTCTGATATTAAGATCCTTGATCCATTTTGAGTTAATCTTGGTATAGGGTGATATACATGGATCTAGTTTCAGTTTTTTGCAGACTGCTAACCAGTTTTCCCAGCAGTTTTTGTTGAAGAGGCTGCTATTTCTCCATCGTATATTTTTAGCTCCTTTGTCAAAGATAAGTTGCTATAGTTGTGTGGCTTCATATCTGGTCCTCTATTCTGTTCCACTGGTCTTCATGTCTGTTTTTGTGCCAGTACCATGCTGTTTTTATTGTTATTGCTTTGTAATATAGTTTGAAGTCAGGTATTGTGATACCTCCTGCATTGTTCTTTTGACTGAGTATTGCCTTGGCTATTCGTGGCCTCTTGTGTTTCCATATAAATTTAACAGTAGATTTTTCAATCTCTTTAATGAATGTCATTGGAATTTTGATGGGAATTGCATTAAACATGTAGATTACTTTGGGAGTATCGACATTTTTACTATGTTGATTCTACCAATCCATGAGCATGGGAGATCTCTCCACTTTCTATAGTCTTCCTCAATCTCTTTCTTCAGAAGTGTATAGTTTTCCTTGTAGAGGTCTTTCACATCTTTTGTTAGGTTTACACCTAGGTATTTGATTTTTTTTGAGGCTATTGTAAATGGAATTGTTTTCATACATTCTTTTTCCGTTTGCTCATTGTTAGTGTATAGAAATGCTAATGATTTTTCTATGTTGATTTTATATCCTGCTACCTTGCTATAGCTATTGATGATGTCTAGAAGCTTCTGAGTAGAGTTTTTTGGGTCTTTAAGGTATAGGATCATGTCGTCTGCAAATAGGGATATTTTGACAGTTTCTTTACCTATTTGTATTCCTTTTATTCCTTCTTCTTGCCTAATTGCTCTGGCTAGGAATTCCAGTACTATGTTGAATAGGAGTGGAGATAGTGGGCATCCTTGTCTGGTTCCTGATTTTAGAGGGAATGGTTTTAATTTTTCTCCGTTAAGTATAATGCTGGCTGTAGGTTTGTCATATATAGCTTTTATAATGTTGAGGAACTTTCCTTCTATTCCTAGTTTTCTTAGAGCTTTTATCATGAAATGATGTTGGATCTTATCAAAGGCTTTTTCTGCATCTATTGAGATGATCAAGTGGTTTTTGTCTTTGCTTCTGTTAATGTGGTTTATTACGTTTATTGATTTTCGTATGTTGAACCACCCCTGCATCCCTGGGATGAAGCCTACTGGTCGTGGTGAATAATCTTTTTGATGTGTTGCTGAATTCGTTTGCCATTATTTTGTTGAGGATTTTTGCATCAATGTTCATTAAGGAGATTGGCCTATAGTTCTCCTTTTTGGAGGTGTCTTTGCCTGGTTTTGGGATAAGTGTAATACTGGCTTCATAAAATGTGTTTGGCAGTTTTCCTTCCCTTTCTATTTCATGGAACAGTTTAAGGAGGGTTGGTATCAGTTCTTCTTTAAAGGTCTGATAGAATTCAGCAGAGAATCCATCAGGTCCTGGACTTTTCTTTTTGGGGAGACTCTTGATTG